TATATATGCTTTCTTATGCTGCTTTGTTAGCTTTTGTTATTTTTGCTTTTATCGTTCCACTGACATCAAAGTTCATGCTCACTAATCCAGAAAATCCAACAAAGTTCAGTCAGGTCATCTGGACAGTTTTTTTGTTGTTGTTTTTTGCGACATTTCATCATCCAAAGGATTTCTTCATTCCTAGGTGCCACAGCAAACAGAGTCCCACAAGCAGCAAACCCACATAGTGGTCCAGCCAGTTTGTTTGTGGCTCCTCGGACTGATGAAGTCCTTTGGATGAAGACTGAAATGTCTCAACAAAAAAAGAAACTGTCCAGATGACCTATCGTTCCACTGGTTTTAGCATTTAGCCAGTCTTTTGCCACTTTTAGGTACTGATGTGCTACTTTCATAATTTTTAGCCTGGTTTTAGCTACTTTTGGCTTCTAAGTAGTCTTTTAACACTTTTAGCTAACATTTTAAAAAGTTTAGCTTTGACTAGCACTTTGACACTTTAAGTGCTCTGCTAGCCTTTTGTTACTTAATACAATTAACTAGCCTTTTGCTCCTTTTTGCTTCTAGCTACCTTTTTTGCCACTTTTATTTAGACTTTTGCTAAGTTATAGTTAGTGTTATGCTAATTGTAGCTAATACTTTGCTTATTTTTTAGCCTTGTTTGGGCTACTTTGAGCTACTAGATAGCATTTTGACTTTTTTTTTTATTTTTACTAACACTTTAAACTTTGTCTAGCACTTTGACACTTTAAGCTTTTAGTTGATTTTTTGCTACATGTAGCTACAGTGTTTTAAATTTAGCTAACCTTTTTGCTTTTCTAGCTACCACTTTACTACCATTTGCTATTTTAACCTAGTGTTTAGGTAATTAGCTAGCATTTTGTAATTTTAGTTTTCTGCTAGTGTTTTGTCTTTTTAGCTTTTAGTTAGTGTTCTGTTTCTTTTAGCTTAAAGCTAATGTTCTGTTTCTTTTAGCTTCAACAATTCATTTTCAGCTTCTTTAGCAAACTTAAGCAGTCATGCAGCTCTCAGCATTCATGCTGCATTTTTCAGAAAGTATAATTTATGTATCAGTCAAGGTAGGAAAAAATAGTTTCATTATACTACATAATACACAACTATTGCTTTAAAGTTGTTTTTTCAATTAGTAAACGAATACTAATTAATTTTCATTTCTTTTTGCAGCTCCTCTGCTGCTGTATCTGTCAAGGACAACAACGGCACATTTGTCAGCACTCTGAGTATGATTCTGTACAACGTGAGTCTGATAAATTAACATTTCAGCTCTGAAGAAACATCTTTTGAAAATACATTTTTAACACGTTTTAATCCTTTTGGCTTTGTTTTTTTTTATGATTCTCTGAAAAGTCAATACCTGGATTCTTCTTCCTACCTGAGAGACATTTTTCAGCCTGTTTTGGACAATAAACTGTTACTGTACTTTTTCGTGACTTTAAAAACTCATGGTTTTGTTATCAGTTAGAAAGAATAACTGACAGATGCAAAACTACAGATTTAAACAGTAGGCTTATAATATAGTATAAGTTTGCAAAGTTTATGTTTTGAACCAAAAATGTTGATGTTTCTTATTTTCATTTTCTATATTCATGCAGGATTCAACATTTGGTCATCCTCTGTCTATCCCCACAACTGGACTTGCTCTAAAAACTAGAGTATTTGCTGCTGTGAAAGCAACACACTTAGACAAACGGTACAAAATACAACCAATTAATTCACTTTTTTTCTCCTTAATTTCTTTTACAATAAAAACATTAAGCAATTGTTCAAATTATTTAATGTGGGATTTTGCAGCTAGTGTTAGTAGCAGGAAATTATAGATAAAGTTAGCAACAGCTAGTGATATTAGCAGCTTAAGTTAGCAACAGCTAGAGATTTTAGCTTCTAAAGTTAGCAGCAGCTAGTGATAGTAGCAGCTAGTGTTAACAGCTAGTGTTAGCAGCAGCTAGTGATAGTAGCAACTATTGTTAGCAGAAGCTAAAGTTAGCGGCAGCTAGTGATATTAGCAGCTAATGTTAGCAGCAGCTAGTGATAGTAGTAGCTAATGTTAACAGCTAGTGTAAGTAGGAGCTAGTGATAGTAGCAACTAATGTTAGTAGCAGCTAAGGTTAGTAGAAGCTAAGGTTAGCAGCAGCTGGTGTTTGCACCAGCTTACAATGGTAACAAGATATCCACTGTTAGCAGCAAATAGTGACGTTAACAGCAGCTATTGTTGTTAACAGCTAGTGTTAGCAGCAGCTAGTGTTAGCAGTAGCTATTGTTGTTAACAGCTAGTGTTAGCAGCAGCTAGTGTTAGCAGCAGCTCGTAATTGTAGCAACTAGTGTTAGCAGCAGCTATTGTTGTTAACAGCTAGTGTTAGCAGCAGCTAGTGTTAGCAGCAGCTATTGTTGTTAACAGCTAGTGTTAGCAGCAGCTAGTGTTAGCAGCAGCTCGTAATTGTAGCAACTAGTGTTAGCAGCAACTGTTAGTTAGCATTCATAGAAACTAGTAGCAGCTACTGATAACGGAAGATTAATCCATCCATCATCTTTATCCACTTCTTCCTTTTTGGGTTGCATGGTGGACACCCTGGACAGGTCATCACAGGGACACACAGAGAAAAATGAGACAAACAACCATTCACTCTCTCACTCACACCTAGAGACAATTTAGAGTTACCAATCAGTCTAACATGCATGTTTTTGGTCTGTGGGAGGAAACCGGAGTACCATGCACGGAGAGAACATGCAAACTCCACCCAGAAAGACCCAGGGCCGGGATTTTAACTGGGGCAACCTGCTCGCTGAGACGTGGCAGCTGAACCACCGTGCCGCCTACAGATGGCTATATATATGTTTTAATTTAGGAGTTGTTTAAAGGGGCCAGAAATCTGCTTTGAAACTAGCATCACTAATACCAACCATTAGCTTTTCAGTTTAGTCAGAACTAATCCATATTTATCTAAGATGAGTCCATCTATAAGAGGTAAGATATAAATTGTCCCTAACTTTTCTACAGAACCCAATCTCACATAACTGAACTGTCTCATTAAATAATATTTGTGGGTTCTATTATAACAACCACATCAAGTCAGTGAGGAATAGATGAGATTTCTGATAAGATCCTCCACGGTGACTTTTTCCCACCATTATTTATTTTTTATTTTTGTTCAGATGTAGCCTTATTTTCTACACTTAGACAACTTTCATTATACCATTATGTTATTATTGGACTTGACGGCGCCAGTCTGCAGCAAAGAAAGCCCAACCTGTGCTTTCCCATGTGCAGTTAGATCTTTATCCCATCTTACAGTTCTGTCCCTTTTTGCAGATGGAATATCTTGATGGACTACTGTTACACAACCCCCTCAGGGAATCCTAATGATGAACTCCGCTACGACCTGTTCTTTGGGTAATCTTGCTTTTTCTTGTCGTTCAAGAAGATGACTTGATAAATCACAAAAGGGGAGTCATTACCCTTTCATGCTCTCAGCATGTCTTATCCTCATGAATGCCACTTACTTCTGTCCTCTGACGGCTTAAGCATACAGCTAGACGTCCAGTGTCGTTTTTCACTGTTTACACATTTAAAAATGCTTTCCTTTTCAAACAGTTGCTATAAAGACCCACAGACGACTGTGTTCGAAAATGGGAAGAGTCAGTTGGGTCGTTTTTCCTTTGAGGTCTTCCGATTTGTGAAACACAGGCACCAGAAGATGTCGACCGTGTTTTTGCACTGTGTCACTAAGCTTTGCAGAGCAGACGACTGCATTATGCTCATTCCAGTAAGAGTAAAATAAAAATGAAAAAAATCCAAGTTTTATTCCCTGTGGGTATGCATTGCCTCAAATAGACGAGGACTGAAATATAATCGTGTGATTGGCAGATCTGTGGGCGACGGCGCAGGAGGGATGGCGCACAAAGCTTCGATTCCCCGCCAGCGGCATCCGGGAATGCCGTTATCTCTGCCGGACCGATCATCACCAGGAGTGGTACGAACAACAACAAAAATAAAACACCTGAATCCTTAGAGCAACATTTCAACATTTTTAAAGAGACAACGATTTCCATGTAATGAAAAAGAAATTCACAAATGATACGTCGAAGTTTGATGATTTATTTGAAACTAAACAAAAACAAAGTCCTGTACAATCTGTTATGTGTTGGAGATAACTCTCAGCTACTACCACAACAAAGTTAAGCTCAATATCTGGATTATTATTAACATTTTATTTGCCATGGTCAATTAGTTGTGCCAGCCATCTTGGATTGTGCTGAATCCAAAACTTTATTATTAGGTGTAGATTTGTTGATTCTATAATTACTTTCATTGAATTTCATTAAGATCCATCCACTGGCTCATAAGATATTTTGCTAACAAATAAAAACAGGTTCAGTAGTTTAATGCTAAATATTTAGACAAAGATTTTGAATGGTTTGTTAGCACTGGGTTTGTGTTCAGGACTACTCTCAGCTCCTACCGCACCAAAGTTTAGCTCAGTGTCTATAGGTTACTTGGTTGTAGTGGCCATCTTGAATTAAGTTTACTCCAAAAAGCTAGTCTGATGAAGATGCACATTCAATGATTATGTACTGAGTGTCCCGGTTTCAAAGGTTTGACCCCAGGAATGCAGACTGATGTAAAGAAAATGTAGAAAACCTAAGAGTTTTTATTAAGTAAAGCAAAAATCTGACCTAGCAGCCAAAACCCATGAGAAATACTTAAAGAGACACCAAGGATAAATCACAAGGAGGTACTTGGAGGCACAAGAAGAACCGGAAATGGCATGATGCACACATAATGGCAGACTGATGGATGAGGTAAAGCTGAGAGACTATAAGGACAGAAGCTGATGGGTAGAGAGGCTGCAGCTGAGTGGTAAAACAGAGAACAGGTGTACAGGCATGGCAGGCTGACTTGAAAAGTACTGACTGAGGGAGAAGTGGTTGGTGGCACCGAGAAACACACAACGACCAATCAAACACTAGTAACAGTAATTAATGTTTAAATTAACTTAATGTTTGCCATATTTCTTCAGTTAAACACAATTTTGTTTTTCAGATGAAACATCCGTCAGCAACTCCCAGCTAGGTATGTTTCATACTGGTTTTTTGTAAATTTAAAATAATGGCAAAAAAAATAGATTTAGTGAATAATTAGAATCAAAAGCGGCAATTTGTATCAACGCTGGTTTACTGATTTAAAATGTGTCTTCTTGTCTTCACCAGCACGTGGTGAACCTTCTTTGATGAACCCGTTGACCGGCGCTCTGATTTCAAGCGTAGTCGTTCTGGGCGGAGTCAGCGTGGGCTTCTTCCTGTTGTCGCTCCGCCTCCTAAAAAAGTCCCGCCTCCTGCAAAAGTCCCGCCTCCCACCAATTGCAGTTTTGAACTCCAGCTTTAAATGATTTATGAATATTATTTACACAGAACTGTTTCTTATAGCCCTTTGGTACACATACATCGTATACAGTAAATGACATGTTTTATGTATTTATTACATTTAATACCTCATTTTTTTACGTTATTGTCAGTAGGTGGGCTACATGATGAAAATACACGTGTTTTAATATAGATATCTTCTTTTTCATTTTTACAAATCTTGACACCAATTGGAGGGGACTTAAAACTAGTACCGTAGATGAACCAAAGTCAATATTTGTCACTACATAAAACGTGTCTTTCAGCAGTAAAAATGGTTTAAAACGTGTAAATTTTTAAAATTTGCTAACAAGTATTGTGCTGGGGGGGTTTTTTTAACCAAAAAAAATGCAGACTTGTTGCTTCACGTTTCATTTCCTTTTTTTAATGTCTTTATTGCATTTTCCAGTTTATAACCATATGTGCATTTTTATTGTCTGGTTCTGAAATAAATTCTGCAAAAACCATTTTTGTATGCAAGAAGTGATATTTAAATGAACCATGAGGTGACTGACACATAGGTTAGGTCAACTGAGAAAATAAAGGGCAAAGTTCAATTATCCCAGTGGCTTACATGTTGACATACATTTTTTTTTTTTTTGTATTTTATTTTATTTTTTAGGAAGAAACCATAAGGTCACTTGGCAGGAGTTCCTTGCTTCAAACACATCGCTGGTACGCTTGTTAAAGATTTGACAAACAATCCTCCACGAGCAATGTTCATGTCCCTATGTGGAGGTTTTGGCTTGCATTCTCCTATCAAGATTTGTTACTTAGTATTACTGGAAAAGAATAAATAAATGAAGAGTTACAAGTCATGTGGTAGAAAACAAGAAGTCCGTACCATTCCCAGATTTCAGCTGAACTGGGAATAAAGTTTATAAATTGTGCACTCTTGCTTCTAATATGAACAAATTGGTCAGAAAGGTCGAAAGCTAAAAAACTTTGATGGGTCCATTGGCTCTTTTGGGAGCTAAAAGATCTGGCTTTCAATTCATTTTCTTCACTACTTCACAAATCGTGTTAAATGAAGAGCTGTTTGAGAAGCAGAGAAGACGGCTCTTTTTGTTGAGCTGAGCCAAATGAACCAGACCCAAAAAGGAGCCATTAGTCCCCATTGCTATTGAAAAAAAAAAGGTTTAATTGAGGTTTTTTGTTGTTTACAAAAGAGCACAAAAGAGGTGAACTGACACAGGAAACATATACCAAGGGAGGTATTTGCACAATGGAAGACAGATGTGCAGATTGATAATCATACCAGGATGTGACAGAAAAACAACTAAATAACAGATTCTGCTAACAAAAACTGGAAAAAGGTTTTGTAAAATTTGCAGATGGTATCAAAACTGAGCCAAGAATGGAAGTAGCATTCCTTGGAGGATTGTATAACCTGGCAGTTTATAACGGATCAGGTCAAAGTTTTAAACAAACATCTTGTGTGGTCTGTTAGTGCTCAGATTTCAGCTACCACCACACCAGTGTAGATCAATATTTGAAAAACTGACTGAGTTACAGCCAGCATTGTGTTTGGTAAGGTCAACTAGTTGCGCTGATCATCTTGAATCGATTTGATTGCAAAGGCAAATAAATTACTAATGTACATGTAAGGATTACTTTCTGACAGTTTATTATAATCTGTCAAGTTTTTCATGATATTTTGCTAAGAGACAGACAGAAAAATTATGTTTAACAACCTGTTAAAATACATGAAAATGCAGGAAATCACATCTACTTTATTCAAAATTTTCCTTGGGAGGACCTCCCAGAACCCCCCCCCCCAATCGGCCTGCCCACTATTTACATTCTGGCATCGATCAGTTTACAAATTAAGCCCTGTTACTTTGTAACACTGCTTACTGCTGTTATGATTCTGTTCAGTTTTATGTAAAGAGTTTTCTGTAATATTTTAAAAAGTGGCGATACATTTATGTTCATGTGAATAGGTCAAGTTTTAAAGTGTTTTTTGAGTACAGTAGTCCCTCGCTATTACGGTTCGACTTTTGCGGACGCGCTCTTTTGCGATTTTCCAAAGATTGGCTGATTGATGGATGACCCGCACAAGCGGCATGGATTGTTTATTTAAAATAAATAATTTTAAATGATTTAGCACCTGGGCAGCATGGTGGAGCAACTGGTAGAGCTGCTGCCTCTCAACGAGCAGGTCTTTGGTTCAAATCCCTGTATTTTAAGTTGGAAGACAAAAGTCAATTGGTGCAGCTGGACAACAAAGGGTTAACCCTTGAAGAAGCTGCTGTAGCACGAAGGAGATATGTGGGCGTGGCAGAGAGCTGCAGGTGGCAGAGAGCAGATCATGACAGGCTGCAGGGGGGAGCTTCTCCCTGCACACAATGATTTATCCATCCATTATCTTTACCCGCTTCTTCCATTTTGGGTCACGGGGGTCTCCAGTGCCCATGTCCAGCAATCACTGTGTGAGGGGTGGGGTACACCCTGGACATGTTGCAAGTCCATCACAGGGACACATAGAGACAAACAACCATTCACTCTCTCACTCACACCTAGGGACAATTTAGAGTTACCAGTCAGTCTAACATGCATGTTTTTGGTCTGTGGGAGGAAACTGGAGTATCCGGAGAAAACACATGCATGCACGGAGAGAACATGCAAACTCCACCCAGAAAGGCCCCTGGACTGGGATTTGAACCGGGAGCGCTGGCAGAGAGCAGAGGTCATGATATGTTGTGCTCTTAGAACGTTTAGAGTTTAAAAACATTGTATATATATATATGTATATATATATACATATATATATATATATATATGGCTTTATAAATAAACTACTACTACTATTTGTACTACTATCGTTACTTCGCGGTTTTTCACTGATCACAGTGGGGTGTGGTCCCAAACCCCCACAATAAACAAGGTGCTTCTAATTTTTTGGAAGTTGAAATAAAAAATGTATTCATTAAGTGAGTCTTGAATAAAAAATACCCCTTGTTTAAAAGTATACACATTGTATTAACACTATTAAAGAACAGATCTTAAGTATTTGTGTTAAACAGATATTTCCATTGCATTAAAGAGACAAATTGAAGAAAATGATTTTATAAACATGAGGGTTATGAGGGGGTCCCTGAACCCAAAAAGTTTTAGAACCCCTAGTCTAGAAAATCAAAGACCTTGTTTTAATTTTGACCTTGATTTGTGAACTTGACCTTAGAGCTGGGGTACTGAAAAGTGTACACGACCCCCTGTTTAGTGATGATGTAAAAGTATAGAAGGTTTCATTAAGTCATCTTTAGCGGATCGGTAGTTAGGGGCGGGACAAGAGAACGTTTACTGATGGAGTTTATATCATAATACGTTCGTCTTTCAACATGCGTACAAAAACTAAAGCTTTCCATCAAACAGTATGTTGATTACTTGGTTTGAGGTGTTGAGGGACTTTATGTAAAGGTCATGGATGTTTTCACTTACTAATGTTAAATTAATATAGAACCATGTGTGTGAAGTCAGAGTTTGTTGTCTACTCAGAGAGGAGCCTGATAACTGGTAACTGATAACTTCTGATGCCTTCAACAACTGTGAGCCGTGAAGCAGAGGTCGTCCTGACCTCACCTCTGTCTGATAACGAGTATTTAAGCTTTTCCTAACTCTTTGTCTTTGGGCAGATCTTGTGACCGGAGCTTGTCGTTGTAAGCCTGTTTTCAATGCTGCTCACCATGCAAGAAGTAAACTTGGGTTGAAAACATCTTCTCGTTGTCCTCTGTGTGGCTTATTTGATTAATGACATGATGATAGGATAATTAAATGATCCAATAGAGGGCTGATCAATGTTTATTTTATAATGTTGTCTCAACAAAAAGTCCCCAATAAATTACTAGCACGTGACGGTCGATGAGTATAACTTCCTTTGATTGGTCTAAATGTTTAAACCATCCTAAACATAACTTCTGCCAAGTACCAAACTAAATCATAGTTTAGTTTGAGATTAGTTCATTAATCTAAACTATGATTGCTTCATTTTGTCAAACTAAAGTTTTTAAATGACTGGTTTGAACCATGGACCCAAGAAAGCTTCACATTTATAGTTTAAATCTGAATCAAAAAGGTCTGGTTAAAACACATCCATTCAAATGCAGCTATTTTGCCGTTACTGGCATTAAGTAATTTAAAAATGTCACTGAAACATGATTTGTTTGGGTAGTTTTAGTCCTGGTGAGCTCTCTGAATTGCCAAAATAATAGCTTCATCCAAACCATTCATGTCTGCTAGATCCCATTCCAACTATACTGTATAAAGGGTTTAAACATTTAACCTTTTTTATTGTTATCTACCTGGATGATTGAGCTTACAACCCATTTTCTGAACAATTTTGGCCTTGGTTGTCCTCAGGCTGTTTCTGTGAGTAGCAAGTCGGCCATCTGGAATAAGACATTTGATCGTTGTACATGATGCTTGCTTGTTTTGGATAGGTGTGTTTGGCACATGTTAAACACCTGCTTCTGAGATTCCAACAGGAGGTTGGCTTGAAACACAGCAGTGAAGGATGACAGATCTGGACTGAAGAAGTCCTCTAGATGGGGGACGATATGTTTCTCACTTAAAGAAACTGGTCCGGATGACATGGTTTAACCATTTTTTGTTGTTGTCTACCTGAATGATTGAGCTTACAAACCTTTTTTAAATTTGTTAATAAAGGAATTTCCCCTAATTAATATCCCCATTTTGGATCTGCTTAATTAGTCTCTAATGAATGGTTACGTTCCACAGTGCTTTAAGTTTGCTGTAATTAAACTTTTACTCAGGAAGCCTGATTTTGATTCAGGAATTCTGGGCAATTATAGCCCTTTATCTAATCTAACGTTCTTCTAAAAAAAAAAAAAATCTTTAGAAAATAGCTGCAAATCAGTTGTGTGAACATCTGAACAGAAATAATCTGTTTGAGGAGTTTCAGTTAGGGATTAGAGCTCATCATGGCACAGAAACAACACTGGTGAAAGTTACCAATGATATTCTCATG